GTTTGATTATTAAGCTAACCCTTTTCTATAAATTGTTAATTTTTTTTTAATTTGATATAAGTTTTTTTAAGTGTTTTTGGGCTAATGGGTTAATGAGTAATGTAAAAATTGAATGAAACTACTGTAGTTACTAGAAATATAATGTTGTCTTGTTCACATGGTGGTTTGTTGGCGCAAAGAGACAAAAGAAGCTAAAAAGCAAGTCAACTGTCTACAATCTTTTGGTTGGCTGAGGTCCAAAAAGAGCTATTCATAAAGAAAGGAAGGAAGGAAGGAAGGAAGCAGGCAAGTCCAATAGCAAAGAAGCCTTTTATCTTGCTTTTGGGTTTGCTGATCTTTTCTCATCATCTTCCAAAGCCGAACCCACCTTCTAAAAAAGTGCAAAAAAAGGTGCAGAAACGAGATCATATCCAAAATCTTGCTGTCAAATTACCACATACTCTGCTTTGATCTTTCTGAATATCCAAAGTTGGTTGTCTCTCTTTGTGGAAAGTTTGGCCTTGTAAGAGAAAACAAATAAGGGAAAAGATTGAAAAAAAGATCTGGGATTTATTCTGTTTTGATGGGAGCTTGCTGGAGCAATCGCATCAAGTCTGTCAGTCCTTCTACTACCGGTGAGTTGAAAGCTGTTTGGTGCTTGATTGTGCTTTATTCTGCTTAAGAGCTTTGAGTTTTTGCTTTGTTGATGAGAAATGAACTTGCATGCCGTGTTTCCTATTTTGAAATCAATGAAAAGGGCTTGATTTCTATCGTTCTAATCAATATTTGATATATTGAAATGGACATGGTTAAAAACTTGTTTGCTCACAAGCTCAAATTAATACAGATCCTGTCTGGAGCTGTAAAAGTGCGAGTTTTTGTTGAGACAATTTTAAAAGTATTACTTATAAAGCATGTGAAAATTAACTATTTGTGTATAGGAGTTAATTCGACGAGCGCGAGCAGAAATGGAAACAACTTGAGTGGTTTTAGCAGTAGGGTGTCATCAGCTTCTGTACCACAAACTCCCCGGAGCGAGGGTGAGATTTTGCAGTCTTCAAATTTAAAGGTTTTCACCTTCAGTGAGCTCAGGACAGCCACCAGAAACTTCCGGCCAGACAGTGTGCTAGGAGAAGGTGGATTTGGTTCTGTCTTCAAAGGATGGATTGATGAGCATTCACTTACAGCTACCAAGCCCGGTACTGGCATAGTAATTGCTGCTAAGAGGCTCAAACAAGAAGGGTTCCAGGGTCACAAGGAATGGCTGGTTAGTGATATTTCTTTACTTTCTAAAATTGCACAAGTTGGTTTTATTTCATTTCAGTTGCCTTTTTTTTTTCCTTTTTTTGTTGTTTGGGGTGGGGGGAGATTTTGCATCACTTGCTACTTGCTGTTAGGTCATGGCAGCTAACTCCTCTAGTGCTAAGAGAAGTTGGTTTTACCTGGATGCAATCTTAAGTTGGTTACCTTCATTAATTGAACCATGTTAACTTACCATGATTCTATTAGCACAAGAATATAGTCCAGTTGGCATGGCTATTAGGATGTCCACACAATTCTAATGTGAATTGATGATGTTGTAATGCATTTTAGTGAAAGCTGTGGTATTCAGGCCTTCTCTTATAAAAGGATATTTTGATTTACTTTTTTTCTTTTGGCACAGGCTGAAATCAACTATCTTGGACAATTACATCACCCTAATCTTGTAAAGTTGATTGGTTACTGCTTAGAAGATGAGCACCGGCTTCTGGTATACGAGTTCATGGCTCGGGGTAGCATGGAGAATCATTTATTCAGGAGTGAGTTCCTCATATTGATGAAACATTCATATCTATGATGTTACGTATATGTCCCTAATTTAATCTTGAAACAGGGGGGTCGCACTTCCCACCTCTTTCTTGGGGCATCCGGATGAAGGTTGCACTTGGTGCTGCCAAAGGACTGTCCTTTCTTCATAATGCCAAACCACAAGTCATATATCGTGACTTTAAAACTTCTAATATTTTGCTTGATTCGGTATGTAACTAAGCTACTGCTTCCTTTTACATTTCTGTTGCATGGTGAGTATATTTGGAATCTCTTTCCGTTTACTTATGTTCTATATACTGCCGTGTCATTTGCTATTTGCAGAATTACAATGCAAAACTCTCTGACTTTGGGTTGGCTAGGGATGGTCCAACTGGTGACAAGAGCCATGTTTCTACTAGGGTCATGGGAACCTATGGATATGCTGCTCCAGAGTATCTAGCCACAGGTATTGCTCCCAGCTCTGTTTTCTTTTGTAAACACATAGTCCATGCCAATCTCTTTGGCTTTTATTTTCTGCGTTCTACTACCGTTCGCTATATGCTCAGTAATTCTATTGGATTTGTGTAGTACCCTTTTTCATATGCTTTTTTTTTCTCCCTTTTTCTTCTCTTTTTTTTCTTAATGAATATCAACAGTTCACTCAACATGTTTTTCAGAAAAATGTACTACCATTTGCCTCTTTTTTCAACGCATGGAGAAGGGTTTCACTGTCCTTTTGACTCAGTTATGGAGTTGTTTTATTTACCTTCTGATTGGGAATAACATTGACCTTTTATCGAGAACTCAACTATGATTCTACTGGGAACAAAACAAAATAAAATCCGTATTTTTATCATATCAGTTATTTTCATCTGTTATAGCTCTCATTGCATTTAGCAATTTGTTATTGGATCATATGGAATGAAGTTGATATACTCTTTGAGTATTGATATCGACTTTATTTTTATTGGAAAGGTCATTTGACTGCCAAGAGCGATATATACAGCTTTGGAGTTGTTCTTCTAGAAATGTTATCTGGCCGGCAAGCAATTGACAAGAACAGGCCACAAGGAGAACACAATCTGGTGGAGTGGGCAAAACCTTACCTGAGCAACAAACGTAGAATATTCCGTGTACTAGACATCCGGCTCCAAGGCCAGTATTCATTAAATCGGGTCCAAAAGGTGGCTAACCTTGCACTTCAGTGCTTAGCTGTAGAACCTAAGTTCAGGCCAAGCATGGATGAGGTGGTAACAGAGCTTGAGCAATTTCAGGAGCCAGGTGACATGCCAAAAAGCGTTCAGAAGGAACACTATGTAAAGGTGCAAAGCCATTCCAATGGCAAACCAACTACTTTCCGGAAGCCTTCTGCTTCACCTCTTTGTGTTTAGATGGAAAAATTCTGATTTGAACATCCATAGGAATTGTTTCTGGGATTTAGGCAGGGAACAAAACCATGTTTGAGTAGTGTACAGTTCATCTTACAGGTAAACTATTTAAATCTACCTCCGAAATTGATCATGCTCAGATTCTAGAGCATTGCATGAACATGATCTGGGTTTTGCTAAATATACCATCATGATTGAAAAAGTGAAGAACATATGTTTGTATAACAATGATATTGAAGCTTATTTGAGGTTTTCTTTAGGGTTTTTGGTCTTGTTCTTCCCTAGCATATGGTCTTGTTTGGAAATGTAATTGAGCTCATCTGAGACAGTATGTAAGAATCTTCATTTTGTTGTAGTCCATGTGATATATCAGATGTATCTCTCTTCTCGTTACGTTCTACTGCCCTTGAAACTAAGCTCATTTCTTTTCTTTCTAAAACTATTGGAATCCGCCGACAGGTTCATGAGCTGCGTGAAATAAATCAATTTGAATTATGTGAACGCGGAAAAAAGAGACAAATTTTGGCTGTCAGGAGAACTTCCAGGCATTTGCTTGATTTTAGTGAATGTCTAGTGCAAAGTTTACTACTTCCAAGAGGACTTTCCTTCCCCCCCCCCCAAAGCAAATGGTTTCATGTTCTCAATGCGTATTGGCATTTCCAACTTGTCAATTAAGTATGGATTGGCAAAGGGAAGTTATCTCCATGGCATTATCCTATTCAAAAATGAAGTTGGTTGGTCTCCATTTTTCCTGCATTAAAGAAGGTTTCGAATTTAAAACATTCCCTTTTTCATGTAAATGAACTTGCAACACGTTTGGTACGAGCAACTATTATTTGCTCTCCTTGTTTGGTTGGTAATTTGATAAGGAATTATAATTTTTAAGTTTTACTTATTCTTTAAAATAAGTAAAAAGTCATCTTTTAATTAAATTTAACTCTCTTTGGTATTAACTATTCTATTCCTGATAAAATAGTTTTTCAAAATCATTAAAACGAAATTACTTATTATAAGTAATTACTCATTTTGTCTGCACTAAAGTCAAACTTTGTATCAAAATAATATATATAAGAAAGTAATACAATGTATTATTTTCATGAAAATAAATATTACTATAATAAAGGGTATTTTTGTCTTATCACTTATTCATTTCTTATTTTAATATTATTTTTACAAACCAAACACTATAATAAGTTATAATGACAATTATTACTTTATTTTCTTTAGTATACCAAACATAATAATTATTTTATTTTTATAAAATAATTAGTTTATTTTATTTTTATTTATTCCACGAACTAAGCATACCCTTGAACATAACAAAACTTTATGTTTCAGTGGAGTACAAAACAAACCAATGGAGACCAAATATGCAGAACGTAACCAACTGTTTTCACTTTCTCCTATTTTTTCCCACCCTAGCTGTTTCCTTTCAGCCAAGTTTGAAGGGGATAAGGAATAGTAATTCATAACCTTTTCACCTTCCCCTTTTTCCTTTCCTTTCCTTTCCAGCCATGATTACTGGTACTTAGTATTGCAGGATTTTTCAGAACTCTGAAGGATGTTGTGTCGTTGGGTGCAGAGACAGGAAGAGGTGAACTATGCAGCAAGTAAAGAGTTGTCCTTCCTGATACGACCTATGCTGGAGAGACATCAATTGCAGCAGCAACTCACCTTGAATGAGTGCAAATAATTCACTATGAACACTTCATTTATAAGATCTGTTGGTACAGGAAAAACTTTATGATGTCCTCAAAGATAAAGATTGGTTATTCAACCATGGCTGTTCACACCTTCTAACTAGATAAAGATTTCAAAATATAGCAACAACAATAATCAAATAGCTGGGGAGCAGGCCTGTAACATGATTTTTCATTAATTGAGAACATCTGAGCAAATCAAGTTTCTAACTGTTAATTGAGAAGGATAATTTCTCTGATCATCCAATGCCGTAAATGATTCCAGCATTGATGAACCAAACACCAAAGTTTGATTAATACGACGTTAACATAGCTGATACAAACTTGACAGCAATCTTCTGTTTATAAATGTACAAATTAAGAAAAGATAAGGTGAAAATTTGGTGAGATACAGGTTCCAGAACAGTTCATCTTCCCAACAGCACAACACGGTCCTTCTGTATTGCCTGTGTAAGGTTGACGTCAAAGAGTTCACACCGAATAGGCATCTCCATCTCATAGAAGGGGTTCTTCAACACATAATCTGTGTAGAGCTCGTATATGACTTTCAAGAGAGCCTCCATGTGCTGCGTCCCAGGTTCACAGACCACAAAGAATTTTGTTCCTGTATATCATAACAATATAAATATTTGCAAAAATCAACATTGTACAAAGTATAATATATGGTTTTCAGAAGCATGCAAGTGAGACTACCTCCCAAAATTTTACAACCAAGGTTTGCAAAATACAATTTCAACTCAAATGCAAGAACAAGAGATTTATTCAGCATCAAATGTCACTAGAACAAACAAAGAGAAACAAGTAATCAAGCCTTCACATTTGCCAATTTTCAGATAAAACACTCACAAGGGTAAACTTATCATTCAAAAATTCTCACCTTAGATCATCTCAACATATTAAAATTTGATCCAACATCTTCCAATATATCTGTACAGCATGTTTATCATTTACTTTTTTCCTTTTTCACATATTGTGGCTCGCAGGATGTTGTCCATATCATAAACTAAAAAATTTTGCAACGAGCAGATCTGTCCTCGAAAGATTAATTTCAAGGAAGCAGACAAGTGTTCATAGATAAGAAGCTTCATAAAGCAGCGCACACCAGGTCTAAAACAGATTTCCCCCTTCCAATAGGTAAGACTCAACTGATCTACCTCTATCAATAACGGCACAATCAGACATAATGAATTTATTTCAATAGTAACATTCTATCTTTGAGTTGAACCATAAAAAATTGAACACCAAAACATAAATTACAGAGCATCTTACCGACAGCAGTTCTTGTACTACAGTTTTAAATTTCAAGTTAAAGGAAAAGCATGCACCAGAAAAATTTTCAAGTAAATAGTTAAAATTAAGAGGCATTTCCAGCTGCATCCAATGCGTATAAATGCAAGCTTCCTGTATCTTTTATAAGCATAGAATATAAGTATATTTCCAGTAAAATTTCCATTTTCATCATCTACATCAAATAAGTTCGCAATATCCATATTTTAGGCACAAAAGGGGTGCAAAATCATTTCCTCTATCGCGTCTCAGAGCACTCAAACAATGGCTGAACAAATGATCCAACTTTCTTTTTTGGGATAATTGAAAAATGATATAACTTTCACTCAACTGAGTGTGCAAATCAGATCTATAAAGCAGTTTCTCTATATTTTACTTTCACAATTCGAAATTTCCACCAAATTAAATTTAATTAAGATAAAAGTAATTGATATTTCAAAAAAATTACCAGTAAGGGATTGAAAACAATGGAGATCAAATGTATCAGCTTCAAGGAGCTCAATTCCCGAACAACCAGTGGTAGGCGATAGCTGCTGTGAAATGGCGTGCATCGAATGCCATAAACTAGCCACTCTCAAGCTATCATTCGTATCCATGCGTCCCTTTGATCCATAATCCTTTACAAATAAACAAAAAAAATTTTACCAAATATTCTCGAGAAACGAACAGAAACTGTTTCCAAGTAATGTTACCTTATAGAAGATCAAACCTCCAGATTTGTTGATTATGTAAAGACTGTAAATCGCCGCCATTGTCAAGGGATCAAATTGAAAACCCTAAAAATTGTTGCTTGGAAATGAATAACTGCTCTGTTTTTTTGTTTCGATTTGGGAATTGCAGGGTTGTTTTCTGTTTCTTTATTTCCAAATTTATGTTGACGTTTTTGCCCTCCTTTGTAGACCAATTTACGGTTTATATCACACCAGACTAGGCTGTAATGGTGCCACGTATGAATGCAGGGTTCTTTCGTAGATTTAGGGGAAATCGGGTGCTTTGTTAGGAAGAAACAGAAAATTATAAATACTTTTTGAAAGTTTTGGTGGGGAGGACTTCACCTAGTCAAGCGAAATGGCGGTGGAGAGTTGGAAACCAACCGTGGAGATCAACGGTCTGAGATTCACGTATCCTGGAATCGACGGTCATCCACCGCCGGGGTCCACTCCTCTTATCGACGATTTCTCTCTCACTCTCAACGCTGGCGACCGGTGTCTACTCGTCGGATCCAATGGCGCTGGTTAGCTAGTTAGTTAGTATAAACGAGAAAATCAAGGAAAATGAAAAAAATTAAAATTCATGTTTATTTGTTTCAATGAATGGTAGGGAAAACAACGATATTGAAGATACTGGGAGGGAAGCATATGGTGGAACCGCACATGGTTCGAGTGCTGGGAAGATCAGCTTTCCACGACACTGGTTTGGCTTCCTCTGGTGAACTGTGTTATCTTGGTGGAGAGGTTGGTTTAGTTTTCTTCCTTTCTTTTTCCTATGTTCATTCAATAATTCCCTAAAGTTTGAATCTTGGAAAATTTTGTTAACTGTTGAATGAACTGAAAACTATGTCATTGAGACATAATTGGGGGGAAAATGTAACTTTGCTTTCTATGGACAATGGAAATTTTGGGAAAGAGTCATTTCTTTGATTCTCATTTTCAATTGCACTGACTTCATTTAGACCTATTAGCTGTAGTTTGCATGAAGAAAATTTGTTTATTTCGAATTCGATTCTGACCTGGATATTATGTTAAAGCAGTTGTAAGTAACTTAATATATTTGTTGTTGGTGTGTTGGTGTTGAATTTTATAAGTTAAACTAAAGGATGGTCTTTCTTTTGCAGTGGAGGCGTGATGTTGCTTTTGCAGGTTTTGAGATTCCAATTCAAATGGACATTTCTGCGGAGAAAATGATTTTCGGAGTTGCAGGTATCGATCCCAAAAGAAGAGCTGAACTAATCAAGGTATGCATTTTTTATTGAAGTACTAACATAGCCATATTAAAGCATGAAGGAGGTAGTATCTGATAGCTCATTATTCCACCTATGAATGATTCGAGAAAACTGAGTGGAAATTACGGTAATTTGGCTAGGCATATTAAAAGATAACGAATTAAACTAACTTCAGTTAAGTAACCAGTTTTGTCTCTTGATATGCAAAGTGACTAAATTTAGTTACTAGCTTGTGTATAATTTAAAAGTTCTCTTGCTTGCTTTTTGTTGTAGGTATTAGACATTGATCTCTCATGGAGGATGCACAAGGTATCTGATGGTCAGAGAAGACGTGTCCAAATTTGTATGGGTCTCCTCAAGCCATTCAAGGTTTTTTCAATTTTCTAGATGTTGGTGTGTATTTTCAATGCTTCCATTGTCCAGTCTTCTGCGGAGTTCTAACCTTTTTTCCTTCCACAACGAAGTTCAGAATTTTTTATATCTTGTTTTCAATTTTTTTACCAATATGAATTGTTCCTTAAGGCTGCTTCCTTGTTTGTATAGGTTCTTCTACTTGATGAGATAACAGTTGACCTTGATGTGCTAGCAAGGGCTGACCTTCTGCATTTCCTTAGAAAGGAATGTGAAGAGCGAGGTGCCACGATCATCTATGCTACACATATATTTGATGGTCTAGAAAAGTGGCCATCACATATTGTCTGTTTCAGTTCCTTTCTAAGAACTGCGTTCTTTCAAAATGAATTTGTAAATGGATGATTTATATAATATAGCTTCTCAATGAAAAAACCCTCATCTTTGTTTCAGGTTTATGTGTCTCATGGGAAATTGCAATTAGCAATGCCAATGGATAAGGTTAAGGAAATCAGCAATTTGTCGCTAATGGTTAGTTTTCCTGGTAGAAGATTGAAATTTTCTTTTGGTTAGGAGTGAAGCTCATTGGATATTGTCTATTTATCTGATACTGAAATGAATATATATATGTCCATTATATGTTTTGTCTCAAGAGTGCTTCTTGCCCTTAGTTCTTTGGATTTGTAATGCCTTTTTGGTTTTAATTTACAGAGAACAGTAGAGAGCTGGCTGAGAAAAGAAAGAGACAAGGAGAGACAGAAAAGAAAAGAGAGGAAGGCATGTGGTCTTCCAGAATTTGAAAACCAGATTGAGGGAAGCCGTGTGACAGGTGATCCAGCACGAGCTGCTGTCCGTGCATTGAACAATGGCTGGGCTGCAGGAAGGTTGCACTCCACAGTTGCTGGTGAAGAAAACTTTCTCTTCAGCTCAAACAGAGTTTTAAGGCAATAGATAACCTCAACTTTGGAGCAAGTTCTTTGAGCTTTCCCTAATTACTGTTACACCAATAAGACTGTAGGCTCTTGTCGCCAGTGTCTTGCTTAGGCTCTTATTTGCTAGAATGACAGAAAGAAAATATGCCCTTAATTGTATTATTTCCCATAGTTGAGCCTGTACTGTGAGCGATGAGCATACAGGGTCACGCATGGCTAGTATCATCTGATTTATTTATTATGAAAAGTTCATGTACCATGAAACGGTTTATGGGGATTAATAAAACCAAAGATTTTGTTTCCTACGGATCATCTTGATTTGACGGAAGGTTGGATAGTTACATTGAACTCTGCCACCTATTAGTCTGCAAGGGATGATGTCCATCTCCTTATGATCAGCAAGAAACTGATCTCTTTACCCGTTAGGTCTGGCTGGCCCAAAAATACGAAGAAGACGTGAAAAGAAATATTATACAACGAAGTTTCAGCCAAGCCGTCTTAGCTCAGCCGGTAGAGCGCGTGGCTTTTAACCACGTGGTCGTGGGTTCGATTCCCACAGACGGCGATCTAGATCTCTTTTTGACAACACGTGTACTCCTCTTTTCATCCAAAAGCCCGCCAAACCCAAGTCAAGCCCATTTCTACGCACAATATTCCCGCAAAAAGTTGAAACACTTGTACTCCACCTTTCAGCTGAAACCCCACAACCAAACCCAATTCAGGCCCATTGCTACCCATAATATTCCCTCGAAAAGGTGTGAGGCCTAACATATTTTGATTAAACTCCAATCCCATTGCAAATTGCTATTCCATGTAAAATATTGTTCTCTTCCACAACACATGGAACCTTAACGAAAAAAACCCATTTTCATTGGCAGAAATTTGATGATCAACCCATAGGATTCTTCCATATCAAGCAAGAAAATGATGGGTTTTTTTTTTTTTGTTTTGTTGGAACATATTCCATTTTCCATTATCGCCTGTCTGTCTCTCCATACCTCCCCAACTGTGAACAAATATCTTTTTGCACTATTTCCCAAAAGCATATGCAAAAGGATAACATAATATAACTTGAGAATAACTTTTTCTTCTAGCTTCTTGAATTCTTATTGACCTGCTTAACCGACCAACACTTTGTTTCTACCTCAAGACTCAATGCCATCATCTAATAATCTTAAATTATTCGGATAAGCATCCAATCTAAAACTCATTTGATAACAGGTTGAGAGACCTTATTATATACTCTTAATCTAGTAGATATATGACTTTTTTTTTTTTGTAATTATTTCAATATTCTCTCATGTGTAAAAATCACAAACTTATCATGTGACATAAATTATTTAAAATATATATATATTAGATTAATAAAATCGAATCATCATTTGCTCTCATACCATATTGAATTTTTAAAACGAATATCTGACTTAAAACTAATTAGCAATACGTTATTTATTTTATCACTATTTCGAAAAAAAAGATTGAATTGCTACCAATTGCGGGGCCAAATGGCTACTAATCCAATTTTCTTCAAAAGTTTTTTTTTAAAAAAAGTTTTCTATTCTGCTTCTCACCTCTTTTTTTTGATGATATAATAGATAAAATTGAACAGTATGCAGAACAGGGTCTGGCTTAAATTTTTTCAAGATTGGAATCTTAACGTGGACTACCTCCACCGGCCTATTGTTTACCTAAAAGGACATACACCATGTTATTTTCTTGAAAAATTAAAGTAAATAAAACTATTTTACTTTTAATTTAATAAAAATTTTTTTAAAAAAAGAGATACCATGTGTCTTGTGAAAATGAGTGATGCTAAGGAAAGCATCTTGACAGTGCAACAAGGATGCAAAATAACTGCAAAGAGTGGTCAAAACATTGGGATGGTAGTGCAATTTAGACATGGCCAAAACATCCTTTCCTTGCTTCCACATTTTCTTGTCAAGCAAACACATTGAACTACATTATCAATGGCAAGAGATTGACAGCAAAAAGGGAAAATGAATTCCTCACTAAGACCTTTTTGGTTTCTAGATATGGAATGTGATGTTTATCAGAAAAGGCCCACATTGTTGATATCACACTTGCCATTAGAACAAGACAAGAGGCAGATGCTCTTAAACAAGTTGTGAGACATGAGAAAGGCATAACTTCAGAAGATTTTTGGGTCTTTTGAAGTGATCAAGTTTATCATACCATAGGATGATATTTTTCATTCATTTTCTAAGTTTTTATTGGTTAATTTTTCCTTCAATTTTAGAATCATATAATAAATTTGAGTCGTTTTACATATTCCAAGATTTTTTTACTCTATTATTCCAAGGTGGTGCTACACATTGGTAAGAACAAAGGGAATGGAACATGACTTGGTGAGAGGAATAGCAAGGACACCAGGTAAGGTGAAAGTGGGGGTTGCAAAGGGGTGGGAGTCGTGGAAGATTATGTAAAACATATATAACATAAAAAGAAAGATAAATACCCAGAACCACCTGAGTGCCAGTCTAGCACTCACATGGCCTTTCTGCACCATCCACCGACATGTGTGGAGGCCTACTACTTGCACCAGTTTCCCCCTTTAAACAACCCTTCCTGCTTATATTGCTATACACTCTATGTTCCTTCTTTTCAAACTCTTTCTTTATTGCTTACAATTCCTCAAATCTTGGTGATGAAGCACATCATATTCTTTGAATGCCTAACTCCTTCTCTTCTCCCTCTTTTAATGTCAATCTTTAAAGCTAAAAACACCCACCCATAAAGGCTGTCACAGCCATTACATTACAAGCATTGATTGAGTAGTGGGGTGGCAAAGATGAGAGATTTTAAAGCATGAGAGAGGAGCAACATGAAAGAAAGCAACACCATTTGATTTAAAGACAAAAAGTAAAATACTTTTAACATTTTTATATATAATAGTAAAATGGGAAATTACTATATGACCAAGAGCTGCGGGCTACATGCTTCTCTGGATTTTGCAGCCACTTCAGCCCCTCAATTACAACTTTTTTTTTTTTACCATTCGCTGGATTTTTACTATTACCACCAGCACAATGACAAACCGAAGGAAAAGAAACATTGACCCAATATTAGGCCCCAAAAGAAGATATAAAAAAGTTACCGCACATACTTCACTTTAGTCACTTTCCTAAGCCTATCACCACTTTTTCCTTTCTTTGGCACTTTCTTTTCCGTAAATCCTACTAAAAACCCCATTTTAACCCACTGTTACTTTCACGGACCCAACCCACCACTTCAAAATTTTTCCGGGAAAATAAAGGAAAAATAGAAGGGCGGGAAACAAAGATAAAAAAAAAAGAGGCTAATTAATAAAACTTAAAAGAAAAAAGGCGGAGAGGAGGGGGGGGAACTGTGACTGTCCGTCTCTGTCTATTGTCTTCAAACTCGGAAATTCTTTCCCGTGAAGGTTTGGCCGAACTGCCAATTAGCTGATGCCACGTTCCACGAGGTCGAGGTACGCCTGTCACTGCCCGTGACTCTAAAGGAGAGCGCCTGGCCCACCAAGACGGCGTTGGACTGCCAGTTCTGACCCCAGTTACGGCTCATGCTTAACCAGCCGGTTTTGGTTCCCTTCACGCTCACCTTCACGATATCCCCTGCACCCGCGACGTTGGTGACCAAAACCAAGTTGAAGTAACGGAATCCGTTGATTGTGAATCTGATTCCCCCTTGCTTTCGGCACGGCACCCTGTAAAAAATAATAATAGTAATAATTAAACTCCGTAAAACAGAGATGGGGGTAATTATGGAAATTCAATAATTTCGTCATTCCCCATTTTTTCCTCATTGATGAAATGACCGAACCCACGCGTGGGATGTCGCGAATTTTGTCCCTGGGCCTGTCTGATTTTCAGGAAAATCTTAGTGAAACAATCAAAATTACAATAATACCCTCGCAACCTTTTTTACATTAATACTCTTTGATGATCCGAGAGATCAATGGGCTGGAAGCACGGTCAGGCTTGCCTCAAAGGCAAGGGTGTTTTGGTCATATAACACGGATACCGAAATACAGTTGGTTAAAATTGGGTAAAACACATTAAAAAATACGGATTTATTCAAACGGACACCGTGCAAATGAGCTCACGAAAGGGTGATACCTTTGAGGCCAACCCCGTTTTTGCTTTCCCAAGAAAGTGATGGGAAGCAAAACAAAATTTAATATTAATAGACATTTAAAAACAAAAAAAATGTGTTTGGTTCCTAAGAAAATTGAGCAGAAATGTACAACATTTATGTACTAGTACCAAGTATTCTTTTTGCTTTTCACTCGCATTTACTTCCCTAAGTAACGAAATACCAACTTAAGGAACACTAGTACTTTAAGAAAAACGAAAAGGCATGAAATTCTGAGGCAAAGGAGAGAGATTTTGGACTCACCTACGGAAAGAGACGGGGACAATGCCAGCACGGTACTCAGCGATCTTAAGGAACATAGGCATGGCAAGGTCGAAGTGAGGGCGCGGAGGGTTGCACCAGCCGCCATTGTCACTTGGGAGCGCATAGTTAGGAGGGCAAAAGTTAGTGGCTGTGACAAATATGGAAGGGCTGCCAGGGTGACACCATCTTGGGTCATTTGCACACTTAATCTCAAAGCAAGCACCACAGCTAAGGCCATTGTTGAAAAGTGCTGTGCTGAGAGCTGCTGTGTTCACGCCATAGCCTTGGCTGTAGAGATTCCCGTACCCACATGCACCGCCTAACCAGAAAAACAAAACAAAACAAAACAAGCAAATTTTGAGGCACATTTTAATGGTTTTAGGGAATGTAGAGGAAATATATGTTACAGTTTGAGATTTTGTTAGTGAATGCATGTTGAAGAATGGGGTTTTCATGCTTCCAAAAACAGACCAAGAAACAGAACATGAGAACAAGGGCCTCATTGAAGAAATCCGTACTAATTGCACAAAAATTATGGTTAAAAGCAAATACCCATTGTTCCAGAAGCATCACTGCCACCGTAAAATGTAGCATGGGCACTTTCCCAGGAGCCACCAGTATAAACTCCAGGGATCCTTGCATTCACCACAACAAAAAGGGACAGCAATGAAGCAAAGCACAGCACAGTCAGGGAAGAAGGAGCAGCAGCAGCCATTCTGTTTTCTTCTTTCAGAGAGAACAAAGAAGAAAGAAATAAAGAAAGAAAGAGAGAGACGGGCAAGAGAAAATGTTGGGTGTGTTGAATCTGGGGCGAATGGAAAGCGGGAATAAGGTGGGGGTACTTATTGAGGACTGAAAGGGGGGTGGAGAGAGAGAGAGAGAGAGAGAGAGGGGTTAAGAGAGTAGAGATGACTCATAGAATTTTTTTGGGACCCAAAAAAAAAAATTTACTACATGTAATTGATGCAATTTGCTAGTCCATTTCTCATAGATCTATTTTTGGGCAATTAATTGAAACCTCACATTCTTTTTTCTTTTCTTTGTTCTTAAGAAATGTTTGGGTTAGTCTTCTTTTTTTTTCTGTTGTTGTAGAGGGAGTCAAGACCCCAAATTTTGTAATGCCATGTGCTCCACACATGGGCAGTTCATGTTAATTTTTTTTAAGTCAAAGAGTAGGGCAAAAAACTTGAAGACCTAATCAATAATAATAATAATAATTTGGAGAATGTGCACATGCATCCTTGAACTAAGCTACTAGTGAATAATGTTGTAGGGGTTTTGATGTTCATACTTAATTTGAGACTTTTTAAACACCTTTAAACCAAGATTTGATTCATTGGGACTTTTGGGTTTTTTTTTATTTCACGTAAAACCTTTCTTTTGATTCTCCTTTGGAGCATCTTTGATTTGGATATTTATTCTTTGGTTGAGGAATTTATATCCACAATTGAATTTGAACCCTTTTTTATGATCTTCTTCTTCATCTTCTTCTTCTTTCTTTTGCTTTTGGAGGGCCTTTTCTATGATCTTTATTCTTGACTACTGACTTGGGGAGGGTCTCATCCACTTTATTTTGAAAAGGAGTAAAGTTAAATGTACAAAAAAAATGTCGGTTTGGCTGAGATTGAACAACATTTTTATTTTTTTATTTTAATTGAATGGTGACATAGCACCATCGTTTTCTTTATATTAACTCTAGAATTTACCCTTTTGTAAAATCCCATTTTTTTATATTATTTTTGTGAATTTTTAAATGTTGTTCCTAATAAATTTGGTCCAACCCTTTTCAATGAATTAAAAGAAGGATTTAACCTAATTTTTTTATACTCTTAAAAAAGGAACTTGACAATGAGTTATAATGAATCAACTTGATGAGGTGCTCCAATAATATTCCACTTTACCCCCATCAACTTGCCTACAACACTTGATGAAATCATTTTGCTTTCATCTTAAATGTAAAATATTAATATTCTTAATGTAAAAAAAAAAAGGTTTTAAATACCCCCAATTGTGTTGTTCCATACAAAAACACTTTGCTTCAAATGCAAGCTATGATCCAACTAAATTCTTTGACTTCATTCTCTCTCTTTCTTTCACATAAAATAAAATCATAAATTTTAAGTTAGAATACTCTTACTTTTTAAATTTTAATTAAAATTTTAAGCGATTTTATTAATTTTTAAAATAAACATTGCATTTTAAAAAAAATATCTTCTACTAAAAATATAAATTCAGTGTTAGTCAACTGTTAATATTTTCATTAATTTGATGATATGATAATATTAAAAAGATAATTTTATATTTTATTAAATTTAAAAAAATTATTATATAATTTTTATTAATTTTTTAAAAATAAGGTAGCATGATGATTTTTTTCATAAAAATTATATAATGATGATTTTTTAATTAAAAAATATTTTAATTTTTTTATATTATCTATTAAAGGTATTTATACTTTTATAGTGAAATGTTCATTTGTTTAAAATTTAAGAAAATAGAGATATTTTACCTTAAATTTTATTAACGGGTGTCTTAAAAACATTAATAAATATTTTTTTAATAAATTAAAATTATGGGCAATCACATTTTAATATAAAATAATATTTTAATTAAATTTAAAATTTATAAAAAAAGGAATCCTTAAAGTGACTAGTACCTTAACAAGGAACCGCAATCAGAAAGTGAACCAAACCCCAAAAGAGAAAGAGTGAAAGATAAGACTAACAACAACAAAAAAAAATATAGAAAAAACAAGTGGAGGAAGCAAAAGGGGAAACCGCGTTAGCCCGTGGGGACCAGGGCTCGTCCTTATATGCGTATAATCAAGCCGATGCATAGCTGCTGAGCTTTAACCGCATGCGGGACCCATCGCCAGCTTCATCTCACTCCTCACTCTTGCTGCCGCGTTTTTTTTAGTTAAATAATTTTTTTATATTAAAATTCGATTTTTATTTTTTAAATAAAATAATCATAAATAGTTGAGTGTTTTTAATTAAGAGAATTACTATTTTATATTAATTTAATTTAATTATAATATTTATATAAATTTATTTGAGTAAATATTTTTTTTGACATCATCAATTTTCAACTACATCTGCTCATTTTAATAAAAACCCATTTATTATATGGAATTGAATTTACCGAATTTAATATTTTTGGGTATTAAATGTAATACTATAAGATTTAATATCAATTGGTAAAATTAATGTCATGATTGAATAAGAATAGCCCCCTTTGGATTTAAAACTAGAGGATGTTGGAGAGCCAGGTTTAATGTTGAAAATATCGATTTTGTTTGCAAATGTGGAGTAGTTGAATTCAAAATTAAATTTGGGTTTTTTATGGATATTCCGTGGGGTTAAACTTTATAGTATATTTAAGTGAGGATAGGGACTAGTCTTAAACGTTTGTAAGATAAGAGAACATCAATTTCTAATGCAAATAATTGGGCAAATCTACTTCAAGTACAAAACATTTAATGTATCACCCTTTGAGACTAATTATCCCGGATGGAACTTTCCAGATAAAGACTTGAAAGAGCAAATAAAAAACACATTGCAAAATATATAGTCTTTTTTTTTGTTTGCAAAGAAAATTTTATCAAAATATTGACAAAAATTAATTTTATTATTTTTTGATAAAATTTATCAATCGAAACCATATGATTGTAAAAAAATAAAAAAAAATTTTAGATGTTGAAAAATTCCAATGTCTCTAAATTTTTCATTGAAAATATGTCATTACCGATGCACATCAAAATCAATTTACATTACCGCCAATTTTTTTTATTTATATCAAAATAAAAATTTTATTTAAATTTTTTACAAATTAAAAAAAAAAGAACAGAAAGAGAGACGCTTTTTACATATAATTTTTTTATGCAAAGCACATAAATGGAATAATTATTGGGAGAGAAAGAGAGAAAAGAGATGATTTTCATTTACATTTAATAATTTAATTCTTTGTTTTGTTATAAGCTACAAGCGATAGCAAAATCGGGATTTTCTCGTACGTGTGAGAAAGAATCTCTCGAACAATTTTGTGAACCATAAGGTTTAAAGTACTGTCCTTGCATAGGGTAGGGGGCATTTTGATTTTAAAATATTTGATTTAATAAAGTGAAAAAGGGTTTAGGATAAAGCTGCACCATTATTTAATTATTTTTTTTAATTTACCAAAAAGTAAGTTTTATGCTTTTTATTTTTATATTGAAAGTATGGGTTAATTTTATTTTATTTTTTATGATGATGGTCAAATAAAAGGGAGAAATGGGAAAGTAAAATATGCCTTTTCTCCAATTCTTCTTCAATTGTGCAAATTCTAAGTTTAAAGGACACTTCCCTCTCAACATCCTATTTCCTTTTCAAAGCATATATTATCATTTGTTTAACCACACAAAGATAGTTAATTACAATAAAGAGAAATAATATAACTAGTTTTCTTGGTTGCCTAATGTGTTAAATGTTTTTTGTAGTGTTTTGTTTTATCTCTTTGTATTCGATCATGTCACGCCAAACATTTTATAAAAAATAAATAGAGTACTTCAATTTTACATGTCAAATGCTTTTAAAAAAAATAAACATAGGATATTTCAATTTTGCACCGAACAAGTACAAAAATCTTATAATAAATATTTTTTGGGTACCTAATATGACAAGTCTTTTTCGTAATATTTATTTTATTTCTTTATACTCGATCATGTCATGTCAAATGTTTAAAAAAAATAAAAAACAAGATATTTCAAAATCTTAAAACAAGTGTTTTCCTAAGTACTTAATATCGCAAATATTTTTTATAGTGTTTATTTTATCTCTTTATACTTGCATGTGTTATGTCAAATGTTTTAAAAAGAGTAATTAGAATATTTTAACTCTACATGTCAAATGCTTTAAAATAAATAAATAAAATATTTTAATTTTACATTGAACAATTAAAAAATTCTTAATAAGCGTAAGGGATATAAATTATTGATCATTTGAATTTACATTATTGTAAAAGCAAATCCAACCCATGTTGTAAACCTGGAGAACATAGGATTAAAGAGGAAGTATCAATGACAGGAAAGATGCATATGTATGATCTGATATGCTCATAGCAATATTTGTAGATAACTGATAAAATGGTGTCACATCAAATAGACCCAAAGAAAATTAAAAATAAAAAAAAAGGCCATGTGCCCTTTTTCCTATTCTAACAGCTGTAAGTCAAAAGCCCTATTTTTTTATCATTGAAGAAAAATTCAAAAAAAAAAAGAAAAAAAAAAACCCAACTCCAATCCCAAACTCTCTCACATGTGAATCGAATTATTGTTTTGGTTGCTTCTCTTCCTCTCCAAACTCCACCTGCCACCCCAATCTACAACCCACCACCATGTGCCTTCACTTATTGCCTTTTTACATTTCTTTTTTTTTTTCTCTTGGTTTTCCAATATTAATGTATTGTCTTTCCTATTTATTTTATTTGCATTATGATGTATTTCTTCATATATATATATATATCTAAATTATTATTTTTCATTCATTTTTTATAAGATAAGATATCTTGTATCTCATATCTTGTGTTTTCACTTATATTCATGATCTCACTTTCACTTGTCTTATCTTGAATGCTATTTTGTTGGATTTTGGGATTTATTTATTATTATTATTTTTGAAATGGGACACATACATGCATGCATTTAACCATGTTTCTTATATTTTTCTTTTTCCTTTCTTTTAGAGTTTTTCATTTATTATCTTGATGGAAAAGCTAAAAATAAAAACAGACAAAAAATGCCTCTTACAAAAGTGATGTCAAGACACATTTATCACTCATTTACTATGCCATGATG